CGGTGTACGCCTACGAGAGCAACCGCGGTCCACAGTACGCGCTCTTCAAGTACAACCCCGAGCTGAAGAAGATCGCCCCTGTTTCGCCACACCGACACGTGCGCATTGACCAAGAGAACAACGTGGTGCCTCAGCCGGCGCTCATCATGGACACGACTGGCGACTTTATCGACTTTGACGAGATGACTGTGGACGGGTATGCCAAGTTGTACTTCTACCACCCCGATGATCAAGAGCATGTGACGATTGTGGGCCACGAGGTGCGCGGTGATCGCACTGGCATCATTCGCGTGCGGTCGAACCAGCGCTTCTTTGTGGAAGTGGTGGTGGCTGCAGAGAACGTGCACGATGCGCCCGTGACGTACTACGTGGATGAGGACGCGGAGCTGCTCATGCCGCCCAACCTCATCTTGCGCGGTGAGGACCTGATCCTTGAAGGGCGCCTGACCAATGTGGAGCACCTCTACGTTGAGAGCGGCGGCGAGTTTGTGTGTGACGGCCAGTGCCACACAGCCCTGTTGACCCTGGAGAAATCCAACGACACAGTGGTGATTCACGGCATTGAGTACGAGGTGGTGGAGACGTCCAAGTCATTCTACCCCGAAGACGCGTACCGCAGCCTGCAGGACCCGCACAGCATGAAGTTCTCTACCGTAGAGGTCAAGAACACGGCGACGCTCAACATCAAAGTGCCCAACGCGGATGTGGAGGTGGCCGACTTTGACATCCGATTTGGCGGCCTCGTGCGCAGCAACACGCAGGTGCTCACGCTGAACATTGGCGAGTCGTTCTTTGAGCACACGGGCCGCCTGGTTGCTGATGGCAGCGGCTACGGCGCCAACACGGGCCCGGGTGCCAGCTCCGACACGGGTGACCGCGGCTGCGGTGGTGCGTATGCCAACGTTGGCGGTCGCGGTGACTACTGCTCCAGCCTTGGTTCCGTGTATGGCTCTGTGTTTATGAACTCGGGCCGCATGCCTGGATCTGGCGGCGGCGGGTCCAACGCAGGCGCTGGTGGCGGCCTGATCAACCTCCTGGTTGGCGGACGACTGCAAGTGGACGGGATGATTTCCTCCAGCGGCGGCAACGGCGGCAGCTACAGCGGTGGCGGTTCTGGTGGTGGCATCTACGTCAATACGGAGCGGCTGACTGGCCACGGCGTGATCCAGGCCAACGGCGGAAACGGTGGCGCATACTCCGGTGGCGGCTCTGGTGGCCGCGTGGTGGTGCACATCACGGCGCACGAGTTCAGATGGGATGGCGCTGTGACGGCGTTTGGTGGACGGTGCGGCGGCGCGTCGACTGACAACGGCGGCTGCCACACTGACACGGAGCACGGCGGTGTTGGGTCCGTGTATGTGCGCTCGCACCCTGACGACGGCGCAGCGTTCCACACGCTGATTCTGGACAACCGCGGGCGCAACCGCAACACGTATCCGTTCGTGCTGGATGAAGGCCAGGTGACCTTTGACCACCTGCACATGGTGAACAATGCGCGCTTGCAGTTCAGCACCAAGACGACGCCCTCTGCCCCCGCGTTCTTCAAGTCTGTGACTGGTGACCTGACTGGGCTCTTGTATGTGCAGTCTGGCCGCGAGGTGCACATTGGCGGGCGCGAGCTTGAGGCGTCGTACCCAGCCGTGGACATGACAGTTGATACTGACGGCCAGCTGGAGGGTACGCTGCGGTTCTTCGTGCGAGACACGTTCAACGTGCATGGCATGCTCTCTGGCGTGCAGTCGCTCTACCTGCTGCCTGGCACCCGCATGAACATCAACGGCGGGCGCACGACGTGCTTGGAAGGCACGTGCTCGGCCGCGGAGCGGAGCTGGATGGACAACAACTACATGTTCAAGGACCTGGTTCTGTACAAGGGCGCTTCGATTGTTGACTCAAACAGCAACGGCAACACCAAGTCGCTCGAACGCGTGAAGGACATCACTGTCCTGCATGCAGACAGGCTGCACATGCAGTATTCTTCCTCCGTGACGGCGTCCACGATTGCCATCTGGACACGTCAGGCCAAGGTTGACCAGCGAGCGAGCCTGTCCACAAACGCCCGTGGGTACACAGCGAAAACTGGTCCAACAACACCGACAGCACCGACTTACGGAGAATACTGCGCCAGCAGCGTCGCTGGTTCATATGGCGGGCGCGGTGGACGCGGAAAGCACGGCAATTCGTATTGCGGTGTCGAGGCTGGTGATCCTTATGGCCACGCATGTTACCCTTACCATGCAGGTGGTGGTGCAGGGGCAAAGTGAAGAAACGTTGATGCGGCGTGCGCATCGGCTGTGAACATGCGTGTGTGCGTGCATGTGTATGAGTGTGTGTGTCTCAAGTTTGTCGTTGTTGTTCGATTGTTTTGTCGTGAAATGGCATTGTGCTTTCGTTACTGTGTGTGCATGTATTTGTCTGATTGCCTCTGATTTTCTCTGCTTTTCTCGATACAAGCTGGCTTGATAAACAAGTGAAGACTTTGAAGTGCAGCGATGTCACAACGGTGACATGATCATTCATGTCTCCCTCAAGAGTCAGACAACCCAATGGTGCTGTCCTATTCCTTGCTTGTGCTGTCCTATTTGTCTCTCGTTGTAGCGTCGCGACACGACACCCGAAAACACTCTGAGATCTCATTCGCGATGATTTGTGTACATCATTGCAGAATGGCCAGCATCACACACGAAACACCGCAACATATTTCCCTTGTTCCAAGAACTACAACGAGCCACAACGCAACAACACCACCGACATCCTCAGCATCCATCCCAGAGACACAAACACATACAGAACAGAGACAAAAGAAACAAGCCCGCACGACGGGCGACACAGCAGCAGTGACGTGCGCCACCATGTGCACGGCCCGAGCTGCTTGCCTGCTCATCTGCCTGATCCTGAGTGTGATCGGCACTGCGGCAGGATACAGCGAGGGCGGCGGTGCGGTGCAAATCATTGCTTCCACGCGCCTTGAGTATGATGGAAGCGCCTCCTCAAACGGAGGCTCCGGCCATAGCGGCAGCGGTGGCGGTGCTGGTGGAAGCGTCTGGTTGGAAGCAGACTACCTCGAGGGCCACGGCACCACACAGGCTCGCGGCGGCAATGGCGGCTACCACAGCTGCTACCTTTGCACACCAACTTACGGCGGCGGTGGTGGCGGTGGACGAGTCTTCACCTCCGCGTTCCATGAAGCAAACATTGACATCCAACAGGGCTATTCTGTCGCTGGCAGCCCAACCTATGACGACGGCGACGACGGCTCGCAATGCGTGAATACCGCCTGCAGCGGCCACGGTAGCCTTGTTGCCGGCCAATGCCAATGCAACGCAGGCTGGGCTGGTCTGACATGCTCCTTTCAAGACTTTTGCGAGGCCAGCAACGGCGCCCTCAACGCTGCGGGCGAGTGCGTGTGCAATGCCGGCTGGTCCGGCTACCGCTGCGAGTACCAGTGCGATCGTGACTCGACATGCAACGGCCACGGCGAGTGCAGCCCGCTGGGCCAGTGCGTGTGTGACCCGTGCTATGGTGGCCAGTTTTGTGAACAGGAGTGCAGTGGCCAGGGCCAGTGCATCGCTGACCTGTGCCGCTGCAACGCATGCTTCCACGGCCAGTTCTGCGAGATTGAGTGCAGCGAGCATGGCACGTGCTCAAGCGGTGTTTGCGACTGCGACAGCGTGTGGTACGGTGAGCTGTGCGAGCTACCGGGCTGCCCCGGCCCCGACCGCAACTGCAACGGCAACGGCGCATGCAACGCCTACCTGCACCAGTGCGTGTGTGCCGTCGGCTGGGCGGGCATCGACTGCTCCATCCCAGACTGTCCTGGCGAGCCCGACTGCCTCGGCCGCGGCACCTGCAGCCCAGACTTTGCCGACACGCCGCGCTGCATCGACTGCGACGAGGGCTGGATGGGCATCGGCTGCAACGAGCCCTGCCTGCATGGAACAGAGACGCCCAAAAACTCTGGCACCTGCGTCTGTGAGCCTGGCTGGGCCGGCGAGGGCTGCAACCGCGAGTGCTCCGGCCACGGCAAGATCAACGCCACCACTGGCGAGTGCGTGTGCGACTTCCTCACGGGCTGGCGTGGGCCCCTGTGCGACATCCCGGGCTGCCCTGGCTACGGCGTCGACTGCACGGGCAACGGCGAGTGCAATAACGCAGACCACACGTGTACCTGCTACCCCGGCTGGCGCGGCGTCGGCTGCCACATCCCAGACTGCCCCGGTGAGCCCGACTGCCATGACAGAGGCACGTGCGACTCCACCAACTACGACATTGTGCGCTGCGTGGACTGCGTGGGTCCCTGGATGGGGTACGGCTGTGACGAGCCGTGCGTTGCCGGCACGGAAACCCCGCCAAACTCGGGCATCTGCGTGTGCGATCCCGGCTGGGCCGGCGTCGGGTGCGATGCAGAGTGCAGTGACAACGGCAAGTACAACACCGACCTGAAGCTCTGCATCTGCACCTACGAGAAAGGGTTTTGGGGTGACCTTTGTGACGTACCTGGCTGCCCAGGCAACGGCCCCTGTCTCCCAGGCAGTGAGGCAGAAGGCGTGTGCGGCTTGAGCGACGCCGAGCGCATGCGTGTTGGCAAGTCCTGCTCGGGCAACGGCGAGTGTAACACCGCCGACGCCGTGTGTGAGTGCAACCCTGGCTGGCGCGGCCCCGGCTGCGAGACGCCAGACTGCCCTGGTGAGCCCGACTGCTTTGGTCGCGGCTACTGCAACTTCACGCTGCCCAATCCCGTGTGCCAGAACTGCGAGCAGGGCTGGATGGGCCCGGACTGCAACACGCCCTGCGTCCACGGCGTTCAAGACCCTCCCAACTCGGGCATCTGCGTGTGCGACCCTGGCTGGACAGGCGAGAGCTGCAACCTCGAATGCAACGGCCACGGCACCATTGATTCCGCCACCAAGACCTGCGTATGCCACTACCTCTCCGGCTACTGGGGCGAGCGCTGTGACATCCGCGGTTGCCCGGGCAATGGGCCCTGCATCGGAGGCGAGACGGCAGACGGCGTGTGTGGCCTGAGCGGCGTGGAGCGCATGCGCATTGGCCAGTCGTGCTCTGGCAACGGCGAGTGCAACGCCGCTGAAGCGAGGTGCGACTGTGAACCCGGCTGGACGGGACCCGGCTGTGAGACGCCAGACTGCCCCGGCTCACCAAACTGCTTTGGTCGCGGGTTCTGCAACTACACGCTGCCAACACCGTTGTGCCAGGACTGCCGTGGCCCCTGGATGGGCCCTGCCTGCAACGACCCGTGCGTCCACGGCGTCCAAGATCCCCCAAACTCGGGCATCTGCGTGTGCGAGCCCGGCTGGGCAGGTCGTGGCTGCGACGCAGAGTGCTCCAACCACGGCCGCATTGTCAACGGCAAGTGCCAGTGCACGTTTGAGCTCGGTTACAAGGGCTCCCTGTGCGAGGTGCCTGGCTGCCCCGGTCTGTACGGCTTGGATTGCTCTGGACACGGCGAGTGCAACGCTGCCACCACGGAGTGCGTGTGCAGCCCGGGCTGGGCCGGTATTGGCTGCCACATCCCAGACTGCCCCGGCACGCCAGACTGCAACGGCCGCGGCTTCTGCAATGCCACTGCCCCTGGACAGCCCACGTGCCAGTCTTGCGAGGACGGCTGGATGGGCCCGGCCTGCGAGCAGCCCTGTGTGCACGGACACCAGGAGCCCATGGACTCTGGCTACTGCAAGTGCGACCCTGGCTGGAGCGGCCGCGGGTGCGATGCCATGTGCTCTGGCCACGGCGTCATCGTCGACGGCAAGTGCGACTGCTACACAACAGAGGTTGGCAACTCGTGGCGGGGCGAGCTGTGCGATCGCCCCGGCTGCCCTGGCGAGAACGGCAACTGCAACGGCCACGGCGAATGCAACGGCGCCACCGGAGAGTGTGTCTGCGACGGTGCATGGCGCGGCATCGCCTGTGAGGAGCCCGTGTGCCCCGGCAACCCGCCCTGTAACAACCAAGGCACTTGCGACCCGCTGACGCAGCAGTGCCAGTGCAACAGCAACTTCACGGGCCCAGATTGCTCGCTGCCGTGCGTGCACGGCGCCTTTGCCAACCAGACGGCGGGCTGCGTGTGCGAGGACTGCTACACGGGCATCAGTTGTGACACCGTGTGTGGTGACCACGGCGACTGTGTCAATGGCGTGTGCCAGTGCGACTTTGACCTCGGCTACAGCGGGCCCGGCTGTGAGATTCCCGGCTGCCCCGGCTCCAGCAGCACTGTGCAGGTCATCAACGGCACGCGCACGGTCCTGCAGCGAGGCGTGCCGCTGGACTGCAGTGGCCACGGCGAGTGCAACGAAGCCCTGTTTGAGTGTACCTGTGAGCCCGGGTGGAAGGGCATTGGCTGCGACACGCCAGACTGTCCCGAGGACTGTAATGACCGTGGCACGTGTCGCCCAGTCGTATTAGAGGATGGCACTGTCGATGTGCGCTGCACCGGCTGTGCGGTTGGCTGGATGGGCGAGGCCTGCGATGAGCCCTGCATTCACGGCCGCCAGGAGCCCATGGACTCGGGCATTTGCGTGTGCGAGCCGTGCTATCACGGCGACGGCTGCGAGCTGCTGTGCAACGACTACGGCACCTGCGTGAACGGCACCTGCGATTGCGGCACGTTCAACGGTGAGGGTTTCTGGGGCGAGTTCTGCCAGCGCCGAGGCTGCCCTGGCGTTGGATTGACTGCTCTGGGCGCGGCGACTGCCAGCCGAGCACCCAGCAGTGCCTATGCCACGCTGGCTGGCTGGGCGAGGGCTGCGACCAGCCGGACTGCATCGGTGACCCCGACTGCTATGGGCGCGGCACGTGCGAGGGCCTTCCCCGCGAGCAGCCGCGCTGCATAAACTGCGACGATGGCTGGATGGGCATTGACTGCAACGAGCCCTGCATCAACGGCACGGAGACACCCAAGAACTCCGGCGTCTGCGTCTGCGATGAGTGCTTCTCCGGTGCTGGCTGCGACATCATGTGCTCTGGTCACGGCACGTGCAACAACGGCATGTGCGAGTGCGAGCGACGAGCGGACGGCCTGTGGCTTGGCTGGTACGGCGATGACTGCAGCGTGCGCGGCTGCCCCGGCATGAACGGCGAGAGTTGCTCCGGGCATGGCGACTGCAACGAGGTGACCCAGGTCTGCACCTGCGACGATGGCTTCCGCGGCGAAGGCTGCGAGGAGCTCGACTGCCCCGATGACTGCAATGACCGCGGCGACTGTGTGTTTGATGAGGTCCTTGGCGAGCCCGTTTGCCGCAACTGCACGCAAGGCTGGATGGGCCCGGCCTGCGAGATCCCCTGTGTGCACGGCCACCAGGAGCCCATGGACTCTGGCAACTGCAAGTGCGACGACTGCTTTTCCGGCTTCAGCTGCGACCTGGAGTGCTCAAACCACGGCACGTGTGCTGAAGACGACGACGGCAACGCGTTCTGCGACTGCGGTGTGCCTGGCGTTGGCTGGTGGGGCCCCCTGTGCGAGGTGCGCGCGTGCCCGGGTGTGGGTTCGCCATGCACCGATCACGGGCTCTGCAACGTGGCCACGCAAGAGTGTGCCTGTGACGCCGGCTGGATTGGCACGGGCTGCCACATCCCAGACTGCCCTGGCGAGCCAGATTGCTTTGGTCGCGGCGACTGCACCGGCCTGCAAGATCCGCCAGTGTGCACCGGCTGTCACCACGGCTGGATGGGTCCAGCCTGCGACATCCCCTGCGTGAACGGCACGCAGATCCCCATGGACTCTGGCATTTGCGTGTGCGAGCCCGCCGTCTGCTTTGACGGCCCTAACTGCGACCGCGAGTGCAGCGACCACGGCGTGTGCGTGAATGGCGCATGCGAGTGCGACGAGGCGTGGTGGGGGCCCAAGTGCAACATCAAGGGCTGCCCCGGCACGGGCGAGAGCTGCACTGGCCACGGCGTGTGCAACTCGGAGGAACAGCTGTGCTTCTGCAACCCCGGCTGGCGCGGCCCTGGGTGCGACATCCCAGACTGCCCTGGCACCCCAGACTGCAACGGCCGCGGCACGTGCTACGCCGGCGTTGACCCGCCCATTTGCCTCAACTGTACCAAGGGCTGGATGGGCCCGGCATGCGAGCTGCCGTGCGAACACGGTAACCAGGTGCCGATGAACAGCGGCAACTGCGAGTGCGACCCATGCTACACCGGTGTTGCCTGCGACATTGAGTGCGGCGGCCTCGGCACGTGCGGGTGCAAACCCGGCTTTACCGGGACATACTGCAACGACTTTGACTGTCCCAACGGCTGCTCTGGCCACGGCGAGTGCGTGTGGCCGGACGGGGACGCGCTGCCCTCCTGCGACTGTGACACGGGCTTTGGCGGCGAGGACTGTGCCCAGTACGTGTGCCCCGGCGAACCCATGTGCTCTGGGCAGGGAGAGTGTGTCCTCTACTTCGATAGCGTGGTTCCGGAATGCGAGTGCTTCAACGAGAAGATCCTTGGCTCACGCTGCAACCAGTGCATCCAGGACTGGGCCGGCCCCAACTGCACGGTGTGGGATGGGCCTCTGCCGCTTGGTTGCAACCTCACGCAGCTGGCAACAGCGACGTACCAGATCAGCGGCAAGCAGTTCCTGGAAGTGCACGGTGTCAACGTGACCCTTGACGAAGCAAGTCGCACGTACGTTGACACCGCTGACCAGCCTGTCAACACCACGTTGCTCTGCACACCTGTTCCCGGCATGGACAGTGCCAACACCACGAGCAGCGGCAGCAACAATGGCACCTCGACGCTGATGGACGGCAGCAGCGGCAACAACAACAGCAACAGCACGGCGCCCAACCGGCGGCGTCGCGCTGTGATTGGGCGCGGCCACGCCTCGCAGGAGGCCGTGGCTGAGCGAAGCCGGCGCAGCTTTGTGTCGCCGGACCCAGCGCTCGGCATTTCCCTGGACAACCTCCAGTGCCACTGTAAGCCCGGGCGCAAGGGCGAGTATTGCGAGTTTATCGACTGCCCTGGGGAGCCGGACTGCAACAGCCGTGGGCTGTGCCTGGTGAAGGGCAACAACACGTTCTGTCTGTGCAACGACGGATTTGAGGGCGACGCGTGCGAGCGTTTGGTGTGCCCCGGCATCCCTGCCTGCTACGGCCGCGGCCAGTGTGTCGTGCCGCCCGGAAAGGACGTGCCCGAGTGCGTGTGCGACAACAGCTTTGACGGCGACGCGTGCGAGCGCTGCGCCGACCGCTACACGGGCCTGGGCTGCGAGCGCTGCGAGGACAACTACATTGGCTGGTCAACGAGGGGCTGCAGCGTGTACTGCGTGAACGGCCGCGGCGTTGGCGAGGATGAGGACATCTGTCAGTGCTACGATGATGATGACAACGGACACTGGACAGGTGCCAGCTGCACCTACTGCCAGGAAGGATGGGAGTACCCTGCCTGCACGCGCTGTCACGAGGACTACGGCGCCGAGGGCTGCGGCCTTCGCTGCAAGGCCGGGCACGGTGACGTCGTTGACCGCTCCGAGGTGGTGGCTGAGGACACCGGGTCTGGGTCGCAGGATGACAGTGCTTCGGGCGACGTATCGCTGTTGGCCTCGGATGCGCGCCCGCTTGTTCCCAAGCTGGAGTGCGTCTCTCAGACGGACAACGGCGTTTATGAGGTGTGGCTCGGCTACGAGAACTTCAACTCGGTTCCCCTCAATGTCCCCATCGGGCCGGACAACAAGTTTATTGTGACGCCCGCGGCAACAGACCTGCCACCCTTCTTTGCTGAGGAGGGCACATCAACCGCAGCGTCCACGGCAACGCGCACCAACGAAAACCTGGGCCAGCCAACCCGCTTCCGCTCCGGCCGCGTGCACTACGTGTTCAAGATTGTGCTGGCCACGGCAACCGACAGCTTGACGTGGGTCCTGACCAACACCAAGGCCAACTTCCACGACAAGTACCTGATCCTCCGCGTGGCAGATGCACCGGCGTGCACGGGCACCATTCCCGGCGACGGCGACGGCGACGGCGACGGCGGCTCTGACACCGGTGGCAGCACCACGACGCAACCAGACACTGTTGCGCCGACGCCCGCAAACGGCCTCGACGAGCCCGTGTGCCGCTGCCGCCACGGCTACTGGGGCGACACGTGCGACTTTGAGTGCCCGGGCGGCGGCAGCAACCCGTGCAACGGCCACGGCACCTGCAGCGCGACCACGGGCGAGTGCCAGTGTGAGCTGCGGTGGAGTGGCATTGACTACCAAGAGTACCGCCCGCGCCGCGACCTGGACAGTGACGAGGACAACGAGAGCAGCAGCGCCGACAGCGACGCATTATCGACACAAGCAGCGCGCAGGCGCGTGCGCCGTGAGTTTGACTACACGTATCCCAACCACCACGTACCAGAGCAGCATCCGTCGACCAAGGCACCGTATCGCACCAGCTGCTCGCGGTGTGCAGACGGCTGGATTGGCTATGATTGCTCCGTGGCTTCGACCGAGCTGACGCCCGGGCGAGAGCCCTACCTTGCTGTGGATGGCTTTGGCCACTTTGTGAGCATGGACGGCGCTGCGTTCAACTACTACGCCTCTGGCGAGCTGCTTGTGTTTGACTCTGAGCAGCCCGAGCTGAAGCTGCACGTGCGACAGACGACGTGCCGCGGTGGAAAGGCGTTCTGCGTGACGGCGGTTGCCGTGACTGTGGGCTCGACGGTGTTTGTGCTTCGCGCGCCGTACGAGGACGGCCAGGCGGTGCTGATGTGGTCTGGCGGCAGGCCGGTCGAGGTTGGCCTGGGAGGCCAGGTTGTTGATTTCACCATTGCCGAAGACTACGTGCTGCGTCGCTCCGGGGCGCACGCGTACACAATTGTCAGCGAGGACAAGCAGATTCGCATTGTCGTGCGCGTGTTTGGACGCGCCCTCAGCGCGCGCATGTACGCACCCGTGGGCATCTGTAACTTTGCTGGCGGCATGCTCGGTCACTGCGACGACACGCCCACCAATGACTTTGTGTTCAACGCCGACGGTGAGTTCCTCGCGGACGTTGGCCAGGGCACCATTGTCTCCACCAACCTGACGCAGACCAACATCCACGAGCTGGTTGGGCCCTTCTGGGCGGTGACCCGCGCCAACTCGCCCTTTGGCGTGGTGTACGGGTACGCCGGCTACAACGAGCGGCGCGAGGATTCCGTGGCAGGGTTTGCGCTGCACTTCAACGACACGGGTTGCTCCAGCAAGCCGCTGTACACGTTCTCCGACGCCGCCATCACGCTCGAGTTTCTCGTGTTTGCCGAGGCGCACGGGGGCACGCTGCTGTCCTTTGCCACAAGCCACACGTTCGCCGTGGTGAACCGGCTGGTGTGCCTGGACAGCGTCACGCCGTGCCCGCCCGAGTTTGTCTCGGGGCAGCTCGTCATCATCTGGAATGGCCGCGTATACGAAACGGACATTGCGCTTGAGCTCGACAGCTGGAACCAGATTTCGCTGGTGTGGCGCCCGTCCTCAACGGCCTCAACAACCTGCTGGAGCTGCACTACTTTGTGTCGCACCCCACCATCGGCTCGGACGGCCTGCCACAGCCCAAATCGTTTACGTTTGTGCTGGCCGGCAACCCGTTCCGCCCCGGTGGGACGCTGACGCTGGGCCAGTTTGGCCTCTCCACCATTGGCGGCGACTCTGCGCCGGCATCTGTCTTTGTCGGCTCCATTGACGAGCTGCGCATCTGGAACAAGCGCCTGACCGCGCGCGAGATCTCCCGCACCTGGGGCACCAGTGTGCAGCCAGACGCCAGCGGGCTCGCCTCCCTGTGGAAGTTTAACGAGGGCCAGGGCGAGAGCGTGCGCGACAGCGCGTCCAGCATTGACTGCGCGTCGGCGGAGTTTGACGCCCCTTGCCTCTACCTGCCACCGCGCAGCGTGTACCGCGCACCGACCTGGCGCTTCTCGGACGCCAACATTGCCATTGACAGCATGTCGACGGGCATTGACGCGCTGTACAAGACGTCGTGGACGAGCGTCACGCTTCGTATCGAGGCCCAGCGCCGGTGTCAGGCCGCCTTCAACGCCACCTCCGCCTTTGGGGTCACGTGCCGCCAGCTGGGGCCGGCCATCCGCCAGTACTTTGAGGACTCGTGCACGGCCGACATTTCGCGAGGCGAGGCCCTGGCGCTCGGCATTGTGCCCATCGTTGGCTTTGCGGACATGTGCCAGGCGTCCTTGGACGTCGTCACGACGTGGCCCGGCGCCTCGTACTGCCAGTCTTTCCCGCAGGGCGTGATCCGCTTCCCAGACTTCTTCGGTGCTGCCTGCAGCCAGACGTGCTTCTTCGGCACCTTTGACGCGGCCTCCAGCTCTCCAAGCTGCGCGTGCCTTTCAGGCTATTGGGGCGACTCGTGTGCGGGTGTGTGTCCGGGCGGTGCGGTGCACCCCTGCTCCGACCACGGGACGTGCCGGGTCACCTCGGGCACCTGCTTGTGCGAGCCCGACTGGCAGGGCGACGACCAGTGCTCCTCGTGCACGGCTGGCAAGTCTGGCGCAGACTGCTCCGTGTCTGACGTAGACCTGCCTGTGGTGCAGCTGCCGCTGTGGTCCATCTTTGGCGAGGGTTACTTCACCAACCTGATTGGCCGCTCCTTCACGTTTGATCTGCAGGGCACGTTCCTCATGAGCGCGTCCCCCACTGAGGCGTTTGAGGTGTACGCGCGCCAGGTCAAGTGCCTGTACTCCTCGGCCTCGTGCACGAACCAAGTGCGCATTGTGATTGAGGACGACGTGACCGTTGTATTGGACGCGGACTTTGAGACGGCGGCCGTTGCGCTGCGCGTGGGCGGCTCCCTGCTCGACCTGAGTGGCTCGCTCCAGCTCGGGTACGGGTACAAGCTTGTTCGCGAGTCGCAGCGCTCGTACGTCGTCACCGGCCCAGACTTCCTCAAGGTCACGGTGACGCTCTCCGGCAAGTTCTTCAACGTTGACGGGCGTGTGTCCCGCGACTACTGCAGCGCGTCGCTCGGCATCATGGGCACGTGCACGGACGGCGGCATTGTGCGGCGCAAGCTGCAGCCGTACGACGGTGCGTATGAGACGTGCCGCGTGTCCGGTGCGAGCCACTGGCGCACGATTGGCGACGCCGTGTTTTCGGAGCCGCGCAGCTGTGACTACGTCATGCTGCGCACGCAGAACCAGACCATGAGCGTCACGGCCAACGACACTGCTTCCTCGGATGCGTTTGCCGTCTACGTGAAGCACGTGGCGTGCGGGGCAACGCAGTGCGTCGGCGGCCTGGCCATTGAGGTCCCCGGCATCCCCACCATCGTGCTTGCATCCGACACGAGCGTGCGCGTTGGCCGCAGCGCCGTGTCCTCCTTCCCCGCCGAGCTCATCAACAACCACGAAATCGTGCGCGAGGGCGCGACGGTCCTGGCCAAACTTCATGCCAGCAAGGTGTTGGTGGCATGGGACGGCTACGAGGCCGTGGTGAAGGTGGCGGAGGATGTGTACGCTGGGGCCGTTGAGGGCGTGTGTGGCGGCTTCCCTGGGGTCGACCCTTTTACCAAGAGCGACGGCACCGTGGCAGGAACACAGGCGGGCTTCTTCAGCAGCTGGCAGACTGCTGACGCCAGCGACGCGCTGGGCACCAACCCAGCCTGCACCGAGCCCACGCGGCCCACACCGCCGGATGCCGGGGAGGCGTGCGCCAGCATCCCTGGTGCGGACGAGACGCTTGCACAGGAAGCATGCTCGCAGCTGCTACCTGGAAGCGGCTTCTTCGAGTCGTGCCGCAGCAGCAGCGGCAGCAGTTCTACGCTGGACTTTGGCGCCCTCTTTGATGCGTGCATTGATGAGGTGTGCCAGACAGCTGAGGAAACAAGCGAGAGCACGTACAAGCAGGCTGGGTGCACGTTTGTGCAGACGGTGAGCGAGCTGTGCATCGCCGAGGGCCACACGCGCGACGCCGCTGTGGTGGATCGCTGTGGCGTGTGCGACGGTGACGGTTCCACGTGCGCGGCAGATGCGACCTGCACCGTGCGCGACGGCATGCTCATTGAAACCTTTGATGAGCACGTGTGGCAGTTCCCCGGCATGTGCACCTACGTCGTCGCCAAGGACTGCGAGTCCGACGCGTTTGAGGTGCAGGCGACGCTTGCGGCCTGTGGTGACGGCTCTCAGCGGTGTGTCGTTGGCGTTGCGGTACAAGTCTTTGACTATGACACCGTCTCATTCTACGTGAACGACGGCGTGTGGGAAGCTTTCGTTGGCACGGAGCCATTCGAAGGTATTCGGTTTGCGCTGGGCGGCAGCAGTGTGGTGTCACGTCTGTCGTCTGGCTTTGAGGTGGCTGTCCCAGACCTCACCCTGACGGTCACCTGGTCCGTTGTGACAGGCAAGATCGCCGTTCAAGGAAGTGCTGCGTTCCTGGGCAAGCGCATGTGCGGTCTCTGCGGCAACTTCAACGGCGTTGCCAGCGACGACACAATTGTTGGGTTGATGGAGGACAATTCCCCGTACCTTTACGGGTCTCAACAAGTTGTTGGCTTCACGAGCCACCTGCTCAAGTTTGCCAACCGCACGTGCTCAGACGAAGAGGAGCCGCCTGCTGCTTGCAACTCGGATGCTTGCCTTGCGCTCAGAGATCGGTACGGTGCATTCGCTGCCTGCCAGGCTGTCGTTGATCCACAGCCGTACATTGACGCGTGTGAATCTGCCCCATGCGAAAATGCCCATGCATCAATCTGTGCTACACGCGACGCATATGCCAACGCCTGCTTGGAGGCCGGGGCACCTATCACGCTTGAGCCGAGCGCTACCGATGTGTGCACGCCCTGCAGCAGCGAGCTGCCCTGTGCTGGGGAGGTTACATGTGACTATGCATTCCGGGGCATCTTCAAGTCTTTCTACCAGGATGTCAGTGTTCCCATGTATCCGTCGTGCACGTATCACCTTCTCTCGATGTGCGGTGGCGATAGCAGCGGCACCGTTCCTCTTGGAATTGTCGCCAACTTTTCGAGCGCCGACAACAGCGTGGAGTCCATCACCATTTCCGCCGGCGAGGACAAGCTGTCGCTGTTTGTCAGCAGTGCATCAGACGTCCCCGTCGCCACCTTCAACTCTGAACCACAGCGGCTTGCTGCTGGTCATGTGTTCGGGTCACACATGCACATCGCAGGTATCAGCGATGAAGGTGTTGTCACAGCCGCCATCCCAGATGCGGGTGTGCGTATTGTGTTCAGCAGCACGAACGTTCAAATCATTGCTCCCGAGCAAGGCATCGGCCATCAGGATCAGGCATGTGGCCTCTGTGCTTTGCCAAACACCCAGGCACCAGCACCTGAAGATGTGCAGAAGCACGCAGTCACCGACGCGGTTTGCCCCACGTCTGTGACTGTGACAGAGCAGCAGCCGTGTGCAGCGGCTACAGCAGAGACACTTGCTGCTGCAATGGAGTTTTGCTCAGCGCTCTCTAGCAATGCAAGTAAACTGGCCTTTGAGGCCACGTGCCCCACGCTGGCTGCGCGCATGGACGATCTTGTACGTACATGCATCGAATCCTTCTGCAGCGCATCAGAGGCTGCGGCGTGCGACGCCATTGCCCGAGCAGAGAAGGAGTGTGGTCTGCGACTGCCCACAGCCACCCGCGATGTGTGTGGGGTATGTGGTGGTGACAGCTCGTCATGCATCCTGCCATACGTGAGCGCCTTCCGCGGCTCTTTCTGCAGTCTTGATGGCAGGCTTGGCTTGCTTACCGAATTTGACGCTACAACCACAGTCTTTGAGAAGAAATGCGCGTATGAGGTGCTGACCTTGTCTTCTTCTTCTTCTTCAGCGAGTTCTGCTACCGTTGGCATCGAAGATTCTCGCGCGCATGTGCTGTCCATCCAGACGCAAAACGGCGGGGCCGACCTGGCCATTGCTGTCTCCGTACCAGCTGACAATGGTGCGAACGACATCAACACCAGTCGGAGCAATGCGACGACGACAATCACAGTTGAGGTCAGAGACGGCGGCAGTACTGTTCTTGTTGATGGCTCTGATGTGACTCTGCCCGCCATGCTGGGCAGTAGCGACATTGGGCTCGTGAGTTCAACGGGTGCCGTAACGCTGTTTGGTGGCCTGGTCAAGGTGAGCCTCACCTCATCGCAAACGGGGTGGTCCATTGCCGTGCATGCCTCACTTCTGCCTGGCGCTGGAGCTGGCGCAGATATCACATCCGCGATGACAGACGTGCGTGTCAGCGGCGGCGTTTGCGCTGGTGGCAGCGTTGGGTCACTCCAGCGCCTTGGCGACGACGTTCTGTTTGTATCACCGACGTGCAACGCGCCGGAGCCAGAGGACGCTGTGTGCGACAGCGCAGGTGCAAGCGAGCGTGTGCAGAGCATGTGCAGCATTGTGCTTGGAAGCGACTATGCTCCGTGTAGAGAAGCAATCAACCTCACCGCCGTGTACGAGGGATGTGTTCGCGCCCTCTGCTCTCTACCGAGCTCGACGGCCGATGCGGAGATGACGAATGAGCGCTGCAGCCGGCTAGCAGCCCTTGAGCAGCATTGCTTTGCCAACAATGTACAGGGCATCGTCTCAAGTTTCGATGTGTGTGGCGTGTGTGACGGAGATGGCTCAACGTGCAACCTCGCCAATGGCTGTATGGCCTTGGACACCTCCGTGATCACGTTCTCACCCGATCCCCGCTACACGACAAGCTCCAGCGTTCTCATGACGTTGGGCGACGTCAGCAACGAAACAACATGCAGCGTGTTGCTTCTGGAGACGGAGCACTTGCAGGTAATGCGCAACGTGCACACCGGCGCTGTGACCATCACCGTAAATGACACAACAGCTGTTGCGTCTGGCTCACAGCAAGAGGGTGTCGTCCAATCCCTGCTGATTGATCCGCGGCAGTCTGGCCGTGTGCTGCTAGGTAAAGATCGCATTCTGACGGGCTTCCCATACTACCTGCCGTCCCTCTTGCTCACGCACGACGGTTCGGAGATGACTGTGCACATGTACAACGGCACAGCAGTGGCGAGCGGCACGACAACACCGCAGCCGCTGCTGGTTCAGGTTCGCGTCACAGACGGAGCTGATTCCAGAACGCACGTGCAAGTTGGAAGCAATATCATCACCGCTGCCTCCATCAGCGGGGAAACGAGGAGTGCGTGCCTCGCGTCTGTGTCTGAGACACCGAGCAACGTCCTTGCAGCCGCGTCAGCATCAACCTGCAACGTTCAACCCAACGACAACGGCACAGTTGTGGATCCTCCGACAGCGACTGATGATGGGCTGTGCGATCTCGCAAAGACACTGTGCGCCGACCTCAACGATGAGCAGCCAACGGCTCAGTACGAGCAGTGCCGCTCCGTGGAGCCCACCAAAACGTATTTCAGCCTGTGTGTACTGCGTGTGTGTGCTGCCAGCTCAGCGGCAATTGCCCGCCAGGAAGCGTGCCACTTGCTCGGCATGTACGAGCGCGCGTGCGCCACGCGTACCGGTGGGCTGCTTGAGATTGACTCCGTTCGGGATGTGTGCGGCATCTGCTACGGTGATGGCACATCATGTGCGCAGACTAGCGAACAGTGCAGCCTCTCTGGCGTGAATTCTGTGGTGACGCTCGACGATGCTGCACTGGGTACCGTGCCAACTGAGTGTGAGGTGCTGCTGCTTGCAGACAAAGTTGATGCGCAAAGCCTGTTGGTGACGCTTTCACGCCAGACGACTGACACGTTTGCAGTCGGCGTTTCTCGCCACAATAGCTGGCAGCTAACCATCGCCAGCAGCGGATCGCTTCAGGTGCAGCACAGTGGCGATGCGGGTACAGTGGCATATGATGCGGGTGCTGGTGTATCTTTGCTCTTCCCCTCGGACGACACGCGTGTCTCGCAGCTGTCCAGCAGCGCAACTGTCACCGTCGCCATCCCGGCATACGGCATTGCCATCACGGTGTCGCCCGTCTCAGTCAAGCTGGCCATTCAGGCAGACCGGGTTCCCGCAATGTTTGGCTGGTGCACGTCATTCTCTCGCGTTCCAAACGGTGTAGCAAGCGTTATAAATGACGCGAAAACACTGGCCATATCTGCAGAAACAGCCATGTTTGCACCAAAGGTGTGCGTCCCGCCACCCAAGGACACTACCACTGCTGCAAGCGGGCCGTGTGCAGATGCAAGCGGAGACGTCCAGGCACAAGCAACGGAGTACTGTAACGTGCTTGCCCGTGCCAACAGCGAACTATCGCCCTGCTTCTCCGTCCACGACCCATCTGCATACCTCGAGGCGTGCTTGGCCTCGTACTGTTCTGCTTCCACCCAGAAACTTGCGATGCAAGGCAGTTGCACCGCCATCTCTGACTACCAGCGCACGTGCAAGCGGTCGCTTGTCGTCATTGAGGATGTCGTTGACATCTGCGGTGTCTGTTTCGGAAACGGCTCGGCATGCGCAGATGAGTGGACCAAATGCACGCTGCGTGGAGCATCTGCCGTACGTCCCTTTGAGACGAACAGCACGTTTACATTTGCGGGCACGTCGGCGTACACGGTTTTGGAGGATTGTCGATTGTCTTCCCTCTCTGTTACGCTCGAGCGCTGCTCGTACACGCAAAGCGGGACTTCTGTCGTGGTTGAGCTTGACCGGCCACAAAACGCCACCACAGAGGTCATTCGCTTGCTTCCCAGCGTTGTGCACGTGACTGCAGAGCAAGACGGTATGCGCTCTGACTTCACCCTGGCGACGCTCTTGGGTATCCGCCGCAGAAAGTTTTGGCCCGTGTTTGGTGCTGGCGGCATCTTACTCAACGGCGTCAGGCAGAGGGCGCGCACACGCGTCTCCACCGGCGACGAGCTGCAGTTTGTCTTTGGTCTGGCCACGGTTGATGGCGGGTACGTGTTTGAGTTCCCCTTCACGACAAACAGCGGCACCGTGCTTGAGACAGCGGCCGCGGGTTTGACTGTGCGTACGCCTCAGCTTGTGCTTGCGTTTGACGGCGAGGACGTCGTCACCACGCAGGTGCGGAAGCGGTTGCTGGCACGTGGCTGCGGGCTCTGCATGGGCGCAGCGCACTTGAGTGACAGCGTGGCTGCCGCGTGGGCGTTTGGTATCCAGTGGGCCAAACCAGAACAGTGTGGCACTGGTGCCAACGGTACCGTTGTTGTTGATCCAAACACCCCACCCCGCAACCCTTGCGAGCAATCTGAAGAGCTTCTGCAAGTGGCACAGGACTACTGCCACGTGCTGCGCGATACCGCTGGCCCGTACGCAACATGTCTTGCCGCTGGCGTCGGCAGAACCAGCAGGCTGTTTGAGCAATGCGTGTACGACTTTTGCATCACCCTTGCAGCTGAGGCGGAGTCTGCCACGGACACCACGAGCATTTCAACCGACACGTCCGCCATAATCGATCTCAGCTTAACCTTGTTGATTGGAACACCGGCTGCCAAGGCCGCATGCACAGACATTGTTGCGCTGGAGGACCTGTGCATTGAGTCTGGCTTCACTGCCATCGAGACGGTGCTGGATGAGTGCGGCGTGTGCTTCGGTGACGGCTCCACATGCGCCTCCTCCAACCTCCAGTGCGCCGTGCTCGGCTCCCACGTGGCCACCGTCTCCAACGACCTGCAGACGTTCCACGGCCAGTGCTCGTACGTGCTGGCCGAGGACTGCGCCCACGGCTCGTTTGCCATCCACGGCTACAAGCCCGAGGGCTCGGACGCGTTTACGCGCCTGCTTGTGCGCATTGGCGAGCAGGCGCTGGAGCTGGACGGCCCGCGCGTGTTCCTCGACGGCATTGAGGTCACCGAGGTGCCGAGCGTGCTGGATGGCGGCATTGTCGTGCGCAGCGACGGCTTCGACCTCATTGTCACCGCCCAGCGCGAGGGCTTGGTTGTTTCGTGGAACCCGTTCTCGGGCCAGACCGCCATCAGCGCGCACGTGCGTCTCTCCAGCGTCCTGTGCGGCCTGTGCAACACCGCCCTGGACGACGTCAGCACGTACGGCAGCAACGTGCCCGGGTGCGCCGTCAACGGTACGTGTACCTTCGAGCAGGCCGGCCTTACCTGGCACTCGCCCGAGACCGACGCGCTCTTCCTTGGCCCTTCCGGCGCCATGTGCTCGCCGCGTGTGTTGGAGCGCGACAGTCCCTGTCTCAACAACGCCACGCTACAGGCGCTGGCCGAGGACTACTGCGCCGCACTTGCCAGCGACGTCGGCCCGTATGCTGCCTGCCACGCCTGGGCCAGCCCGTCCGCGTACGTTGATGCGTGCATCAGCGACTACTGCACCGGCGGCGCCGAGAAGGCGTGCGGCGTGTACGCTGCCTACGAGGATCGCTGCCTCAAGAGCAGCCCAGACCCCGTGGAGGCAAGCAGCGTCATTGACCGCTGTGGCTTGTGCTTTGGCAACGGCGAGTCGTGCCTGGAGACGTACAGCGTGTCCACCGTGTTTGGTGACCCCCACTACGTGACCCTGGACAAAACCGTGTTTAGCTTCTCCGGCACGTGTGACTACGTGTTTGCCAAGGACTGCCTGTACAACGAGTTTGAGATCCACGTGCGCAACCGCAACGTGACCAACGCCGGCATTTCCACTTTTGGCGTTGGCATCACGTCACACGGATCACCGGTCGTGGAGCTGCAGTTCACTGGTGATGTGCTTGTGGACGGCCAGCTGCAGACCAAGCTTCCGCTGCTGCTCAGGGGCGGCACCACCGTGTCCCGCACCCTGCAGGGCACCCTGGTTGTGACCATGGGCAACGGTGTTGAGATTGAGTACACTGAGGACGCTATCCTCTCCGTGTGGGTCCCGGACCGCTTCTCCGACCGCGTCTGTGGTCTTGTCGGCAAGTACGACAACGTCACCTCCAACGACCTCGTCACCAGCGCCGGTGTGCTCACCACAAACGCGTACAAGTTTGGGCTGAGCTGGGCCGTGGTCAACGTCACGTCCGCGCCGTCGACGCTGTTTGCTTCGAGGGAGGGCGTGTGCTACCATGAGCCCGTGCCGCCAACGCCCGTTGACCCATGCGCTGACGCAGATGCGCAGGTCATCGAGGAAGGCCGCCGCCGCTGCACCATCATTGTGGACACAGACGGCCCATTTGCTTCCTGCCACCGAGTGCTCAGCCCTGAGCCGTTTTATGAGGCATGTCTTGCTGACATGTGCTACCCACTGCACGCCACGTCGGCGATTCGCCAGTACGACATGCTCTGCAAAGACCGCGGGTGGGCGCCGCAGCCGCCCATCATTGACCGCTGCGGGGTTGCGTTTGGCGATGGCTCCTCCTGCGCGCAAGAACTCGCAACCTGCTCTGCATTTGGCGGCGTTCACTTCACCACATTCGATTTGAGTGCGTACGACTTCGCGGGAACGTGCTCGTACGTTCTAGCAAAGGATTGCGAGGAAAGCTCATTTGAGGTGCAAATCATTCCACACCCGACTGCCGGAACCTTTGCCGTTGGCGTGCGCACGCTGGGTCAGCATCACATCGAGGTCCACAGCGGCACACTGATGGTCAACGGGAGAGTGACTAGTACCGCACTCCTGCCCATGCTGCTTGCTAGGGACAGCACACAAATCTCGCACGAGCTTGACGGAACCCTGAGCATTGAGCTTCACAGTGGCATTGAGATTCGCATCTCCAACGCGCTCTCCAGGATCACAGTCTCTGCCACAAGCTCATTCAAGGGCCGCATGTGCGGCCTATGCGGCGATTTTACTGGCTCTGCGATCGACGACTTCAAGACGGCGGATGGATATGTATACACTAGTATCAACACGGCAAGAACGTACGTGTTTGCCAACAGCTGGCAGGTTCCTGAAGGCACCGCGCTCATTGATTCTCATAACAGCGAATGCATTGGCCCCGTACAGCCTCCACCAAACCCGTGCAACCTCGATTCGTCTGCCTTGACAGAAGCAAAGCGCCTGTGTGTCCTCAGCCCAGGCGCAGTCGCTGATTCGGCCACATGCTCTGACTCACTCGTCTCATCTCTGTACGACGCCTGCTTGCGTGACGCGTGCCAAGCCCTCACGTCCGGCCGCGCGTATTCACAGTGCGAGGGCGCAGCGTCATTCTTGGAGTACTGTGACGCAAACAACGAGTATGTGCGTTTCCTGGCATGGGACCGCTGTGGCGTGTGTGGCGGCGACGGCACTTCGTGCGCAGAGCAGTTCCCGACTTGCACCGTGCTCTCCAGCGGGCAAGTCCTGTCCGTGCCAGGCGCGATTGTGAAACCGCTTGCCGAATGTGACTTTGTGCTGGCTAAGGACCCACATGGCGTCTTTGAGGTGCACGCCCGGTTTGTGTGTGTGCCGCTTCACGGCACAGGGCTCGGCGCTACCTCCAACATCCACGTTGCGGTGTCGCCGCTCTTCAACAACGCAACCGGCGGCCTGTGCGCCCTGTACAACGGCATCGCTGCAGACGACAGCGCCACCGTCGACTACGACCGCGTGTCGCGCGCGTCCTCGCTGCTGTGGTACGACGCGCCCAACACGTGGGAGACGTACAACAAGCGCCCGGACGGCTACCAGCCCTCGGACGAGTGCCAGTCTGCGGAGCTTGAGGCGCAGGCAGTGACGGTGTGTGCCGCTGCCGGCGACATGGCGCAGGAGTGCATCAAGGACGTGTGTGCCACGGGTGACCTGGACGCGGCGTGGCTCATGATTGAGGCGTGGAGGTCGCGCCAGGAGGCCGAGGACCGCCTGCGCGACCGCACAGACGGCAACGGCACAACAACCACGACCACGACGACCGCTGCGCCCTACACCACCACGTTGCCGTTGGAGCCCGAGCCACCGGTGATCGATCCTCGCCCGCCCGTGCAGCCGCCAGTCGACTCCTCACGTGGCGGCCTGTGCACAAGCGCGGGCGACCCGCACTTCACCACCTTCGATGGCGCGCGCTTCGACTTCTACGGCGTGGGCGAGTTCTACCTGCTGCGCTCGCCGCTGGTGGAGGTGCAGGTGCGGCACGAGCCGCTCGGCAGCGCTTCGGGCAACACGGCCTTTGAGGCGCTGTTCCGCGAGTCTGGCCTGCGCGTGGGCATGTACCCGAGCACGGGCCGCCTCATCGTGCGCACGTACAACAGCCTCGCTGCGGAGCTGAGCAGCAGCAACCCCACCTTCCAGGCCTCGCTGGACGGCGTGAACGTGCGCTGCGAGTACAGCCGCTCGTGCACGCTCTACTCCGAGGCACTGGGCTTTGAGCTCACGGCACAGGGCTCGCGCTACCTCAACATCCACGTTGCGGTGTCGCCGCTCTTCAACAACGCAACCGGCGGCCTGTGCGCCCTGTACAACGGCATCGCTGCAGACGACAGCGCCACCGTCGACTACGACCGCGTGTCGCGCGCGTCCTCGCTGCTGTGGTACGACGCGCCCAACACGTGGGAGACGTACAACAAGCGCCCGGACGGCTACCAGCCCTCGGACGAGTGCCAGTCTGCGGAGCTTGAGGCGCAGGCAGTGACGGTGTGTGCCGCTGCCGGCGACATGGCGCAGGAGTGCATCAAGGACGTGTGTGCCACGGGTGACCTGGACGCGGCGTGGCTCATGATTGAGGCGTGGAGGTCGCGCCAGGAGGCCGAGGACCGCCTGCGCGACCGCACAGACGGCAACGGCACAACAACCACGACTGCAACTCCCTTTATCGACTCTTCTGTTTCACCACCTCCTGCTCCACATCAGTGCTATGCACTTGCTGACCGTCTTGGTGATTTTTCTTTTTGTCACGAACACGTTGATCCTCGACCGTATGTTGTTGCATGTGAAGAGGCACTTGTTGTTGTTGACACCGAAGTGAGCTCCACGCTTACCTTTGTGTCTGGTTCTACATCAACAGTTGCAACACCCATACCGCCTTCAACATGTGAGGTTGTGCAGGCTTACCGTGACCAGTGTGTGCGGAGCGGTGTGACGTCCATCCCGGCCATCGTCGATGAGTGTGGGGTGTGCTTTGGTGACGGCAGCACGTGCTCGGGCTCTTTTATGACGTGCTTCATGCGCGACGTTGGCCTTGTTCGCACGTTCTCTGGCTACGAAAATGCGTTTTCCGGCATCTGCGACTACGTGGTTGCCAAGGACTGTTCGGCCATGTCTGAGTTTGAGGTGCAAGCGCGCAAGACGGCGTGTGGCCTGAGCTCGTGCAACTCGGTCGTCGCGGTGCGCTTCGGCTTCAACCTCGTCGTGGAGATTGCGGGCTCCTTTGTCACCATCAACGGCCAGGAGACCTCCGCGCTGCCACTCACCACCGTGGAGGGTGTCGTTGTGCAGAAGGGCGCTGGTGTTTTCACTGTGCGCCTGCCCAACAGCGTCACAGTCACGTGGGCACCAGCGTCTGGCCAGCTTCAGGTGCGTGCGCCAGCTGTCACCTTTGCCAACCGCGTGTGTGGCCTGTGTGGACAGCCGCTGAGCGCCGACGCCACAAACAACGACGATCCCGCGAGTGGCCTGATCACGTCCAATGGCGTTGTGGCCGCCAGCCTGTGGCAGCACGCCAAGAGCTGGCTCGTGGACACGGAGGCTGCGAGCCTGTTTGTCGACCCAGACCCGTTCTGCACCATTGATGACGTTCCCCCGGCCGATCCATGCTCCTTCAACGCCACCCTCGCCGACTGGGCCGACCGCGTGTGCTCCAAGACGTTGCGTGGTCGCGAGTATTCCGCGTGCCATGCAGTCGTCGACGTTGCGCCGTACATTGAGCTCTGCC